CCCGATCCGGAGTCGAGCGCACTAACTATGAGGCTACCGCGCCTCCACTTTGGAAGGTATACAAGGTTGTAAAATGAATACATCGTTTGCAGTGGTCTTTCCAAGAAATCTTTTGTTTCCGTGACCGCCATGTTTTCTCAAGTCCCTACTGTTTAATGAAACAGCAATCGCTATCGCTCGCTTAATCAACTTTCTTATGGACGTTAAAGGTCAAAAAAGTGAATAAAAGGAGAATGTTTCTTCATAGACGACAAAAAAAGAAAAAAAAATAAAAAAAATAAAAAAAAGACAACGCATTTAAATTTTGCAAGTGGTTTGAAGTCTCTTCATCAATTTAGCCTTTAATTTTCAGTCTCTGAAATGACGCATTTCGAAGTTTCTTTAGTAAACTGTTGAGGATGATTTACTAATAGAGACAGAAACAAGGTAAATCTAATTTCTCAAAGCAATAAAAGAATCTTACCATCCATTTAGGATAATACTTTTTCAAGAACAAAAACCAGGAAGACAAAAAAAAAATATAGAGCCAAAGTCCCATGTCTTTAAAACTCGGCCAAAAAGGGGCTTTTCTGATGTTAGAGAAATATTTGACAAGAATCCGCCTATTAAAATCGGGCTGCTTAGTTAAAGAAGGGGTATGTTTACTTCTCGTCTCAAGGACACTGATAGTATATTGTTTTGCTGCATAGTTAAAATAACTTATGATTTTTTTTTCTTTTTTCCATCTCTATCTTTTGACTCCACTTTCCTACATGTATTATTTCCTACATTCTCAGTTATTTTTTTAATAAACGTCATTCCTTCTGTTCTCGTATTCTTTTTATTTACTATAATAATTCAAGTTCTGATAGATTTTTTTCCGCAGAAGTTTTTTCTTGTTTAAAAGCTTCGAAGGAGAACGTTCTGAAATTTACCTCACATTTTTTTTCCAAGGTACGCTAAGAGGGTAAGTCCCAAAGTAATCAGCATCAAAGGTATCAGTTCATTGTTGCTTCGAAATTATTAAATAAATCGCTTTTCGCGAGAGCCGCTTACAAAAACATTCTCAAGTGTGAGGAATTCAGGTCACTAGGTTACGTAGCACAGTGTCTTACGGCCACTTAAAAGCACTTTCCTTGTCAACATGATCTCCAAGATTCTTTTGTTTTTTTAAATTTTCTAAGTAAACTAACTTAAAATTCCATGGTTGACTTAGTTGTGCTTCGTTTAACTAACAAATGTGCAAAAAAGACTGTCATTATTTATCCCCTTGGAAGCGTTAAAAGATTTTACTCCATCCCGACCTAATTTACCCAATCCTCCTTCAAGGCTCAGTAATTTTCGAATGTCCCATCACCATTCATTAAAAGTTAATTGCCAGTCAATTTTCTGTACCCCTTCCCTTATACTGTGTTGGTGACGACTGACATCCCCTACCGTTCCCCCCTGAAAACCACCTAATCCCCCCAATTCTACCCCCCTTCCCCTAAGTAACATTTAATGACTGGCCCGTAGATAATCGTTAACGAAGCAATAAATACAGCATAATGAATATGGGTAAAATTGAGTGACAGAATGACTCTGTTCCCTCTCTATAATAAAAAATAACGGAGATGGGTAAATAACATAGTGGATATGTGTAAAATTGAGTAACAGAACAACACTGTTGCCTCTCTATAATATAACATAGTGGATATGGGTAAAACTGAGTAACAAAACGACATTGTTGCCTCTCTATAATATAACATAGTAAATATGGGTAAAATTGAGTAACAGAACGAAACTGTTGCCTTTCTATAATATAACAAATGGATATGGGTAAAATTGAGTAACAGAACGACACTGTTGCATCTCTATAAT